GAGAAGGCGGCGGAGCGGATAGAGGGATGGGGGGGGGCGGCAGAGATGGGGGGGGCGCGAGGGGGGGGAGGGGGGGGGGGGGGGCGGGAGAGAAGGGCGAGGACGAGGCGATGGGAGGGGCGGGGAGGGGAGGGGGGGGGGGGGCGGGAGATAGAACCCCCTGGCCACCATCGTCAATGTTGTTCGAACTGTCGGTGTCCAAGTCGCCCTACCTCCTATCATCATCGCCATCAACATCATCAGCCGATCCTCCACGCCCCTGTCATCCCCACCCCCCCCCCTGTCGGGTCATTATTCTTATTCCTCTACTAATCATTCCGCCTCTGCCCCATGCATGTTGGAAGGGGAAACCAGCTCCTGCGACCTGAACAGCTCTGCGGAGCTCGCCCTCCGAGCCAGCGGGGTCGGGGTAGTGGGCGACCTGACAGGCGCACTCGTGGCCCGTGGAGGCGGAGTCCTTTAGTAGGGGCGAAGGCGCCGAAACGAAGGAAGGAAGGCGGATGGTGGAGGACACGATGAGAAACCGCAAGGGGGAGCAACGGAGGAGGAGGAGCAGGATAGGGCATAGCATGGGACAGAAAAAAAGTATTGGTGGAGGAGGCGCGGAGGAGGCTCCTCCTTCTCCTCCTCCTCCTGCTTCTCCCCCCTCGCCCCCCCCCCCCCCCCCCCCCCCCCCTCATGTCGCCCCCTCCTGTTTGCGCGGAGGCGTGAGGGTGGGTGGGCTGAGGGGGGTCGGGGTTGGGGGGGGTGCGCGGGGTGCCTCTCCTCCTCTCCTCCTCTCCTTCCTCCTCCTCCTTCCTCTCTTCCTCCTCCTCCTCCTCCTCCTCCTCCTCCTCCTCCTCCCCTCTCCTCCTCCTCCATCGCTTCCCCGCGCGCGCCAGCCCTTTTCCGAATTCAAGCTCCATCCTCCGCATCTCCCTCATTATTCCCCTCCTTCTCTCCCCCTCCCCATCCCTCTTCCCGCCCCTCCTCCTCGCCCTCGCCCCCCTCACCCCACCCCACTCCCTCCCCCACCCCCACCCCTCCTCTCCAAGTCAAAGCTCCTGCCACCTCATCCTCCCGTCCCTTAGAAGTTCTAACCTAGGCAACGTGAAGCACGCCCCCGATCCCCCTGCTGCCATCCAACCTAGTCGCCTCCTCCTGCGGGCGGAATGGAGGGTGCGGGGCGTGTCCTCAGCATAGTGTTCTCGTCATCTGGAACACCCAGCATGTGCAGCACGTACATCAACCTCTCGGCCTCCCTGCGCAAGCAGCCTGCCAGGGCCTCGTTGGGAACTGGAGAAGTTAACGGCCTCCACCATCCTCCCTCCGCCCTCCTTCTTCCTCTCCCTACGCCCTCCTCTTCCCCATTCCTTCTCCATCTCCCTACCTCCGTCCCCACCCATCCCCGATCCTCTCACATCCAAGTTCATTCCTACTTATCCACCTCCTCCTCCACCTCCTCCTCCGTCTCCTCTCTCCCCTCCCACCTCCCCCTCCCATCCTTCTGCCGTCGCCGTCGTTGACGCCGAAGTCGACGTCCTCATCGCCGAACTATCGCCATCGTGATCGTGGCCATTTCGAGCGCCCGAGTGCCTGCCGTCGCCTCGTCGGGTTGTCCCTGATGCGCCTGCAGTGTTTGAGCAGGCAGCTAATCTTGTCTGCGAAGCTCGACGCACGCTTCACCAGCGGGCCAGGAGGCTCTCGCCCCACTGTGGGGTGCCTCGGAAAGGGGTGCAATAGGGCACCCCACAGTCATTCCCCTGTCCTCACTGCGCTCCTCCTCCGTCCTCCGCCTCCTTCTCCTCCTCCTCATTCCCCCCTTCCTCCCCCCTCCTTCTCCTCCACCTCATCCCTCCTCCGCTTCCTTTTCATCATTCCTCACCACTCTGCGATCTGACGACCGTCTGACGTCAGACGATCGTCAGATCTGCATGTGTGATCTGACAACCGTATGACGTCAGACGATTGTCAGACATGTGTGTGCGACCTGACAACCGTCTGACGTCAGACGATCGTCAGACATGAGTGTGCGATCTGACGAACGTCTGACGTCAGACGATCGTCAGATCTGCGTTTGCGACCTGACAACCGTCTGACGTCAGACGATCGTCAGATCTGAGTGTGCGATCTGACGACCGTTTGACGTCTGACGATCGCCAGATCTGTGTTTGCGACCTGACAACCGTCTGACGCGAGACGATCGTCAGATCCAGATTTGCGCCGCGACTACAGTCGATCGTCAGACGATCGAAGATGAGGTGATGAGGGGTGAGGATTAGATTTCGAAACAGGAGGAGAGAGGATGGGGCAAGCGGATCAGGAACGGAGGGAGGGGGGGCGGAGCAGGAGGAGAGGAGGAGGAACCAAGAGAGATGAAGGAGGAGGAATGCGTCTGCTGGAAAAAAAAAAAACATGTTTTTAAAAATCTCTGCTTCTCGTCATCCTCCTCTTCCTGATCTCATCCTTATCCTCCTCGTTCGCTGTCGGAGCCTCTGCAATACCATCTCCATGGCAGCGCGGAGCTCGACGAAACTGATGTCCGCCTCGGGGCTAGCGTTCAGCAGGATCTCCAACTGGGCGGATGCCCCTCCCCCCCCCTAAAAACAACATGCTCTACTGTCTGGATTAATTTCAGGGCTCCCGAAGAGCTTTAGGGCACCGCGAAAATTCCAGAACCTCGGACCGCAGTTGTTTTATGAAACAGTTTTCCAGGAGCCAAGATTCGCCATCGGGCCCTGGTTCCCCTGGAGACAGTAACGCATTCGCAGGCCCTCAAATCTGAAGACGCCTTGCGAGGAGGGGGAGGAGGAGGAGGAGGCTGAGCAGAAACACGAGGCGGAGGAGGACGATAGAGCGGAGAAGGATGGAGGAGGAGGACGGGAGAAGGAGGAGGTCCCGCCCGAGGCTGATCATCATCATCATCATCATCATCATCATCATCATCAGCAGCATGATCATTATCATCATCATCACCATCATCATCACCATCACCATCATTATCACCATCATCATCAACAGTCAGCTCTTATTGTTTTCCTGTCCGTCTTTCTGCTGCACCCCCGCTTCTCTCCTGATCCGCTTTCTCGTGCCTCCTCGTACACTCTCCTCTCGTCCCCCCTCTCCCCCCCATGGGCAGCCAGCCACCAAGCTGTCCAGCTGCGCAAGGCTCGGGCCATGCACGGCATGGTCTTTGTGGAGGTGGAAGTATTGGCCCAACCGAAACGCACCCCTCACCCCCTCGGAGTCTACGCACGAAAGGAGGGCCTGCCCGAGGGACGTCGGGTCACCGTCGCCCTCGAAGGGCGGGCAGGCCATGACTCGCTGGGGGGGGGTGAGGGGTGCGTGCTGGGCCTGGAGAGGGCGAGAAGGCCCTGGTGCCAAAATGGCTATGCAGCGGCGTTGCACGTTGCTCCTCATCCTCCTTGTTACCCTCCTGTCCCACTTTTCCTCTTCCTCTCTCTTCCTTCCTCCTTCCTCCCTCCTTCTGTCTCCCTCCTTCCTCCATTCGTCGTCCTCTCTCCTTCCTCCCTCCTTTTCCCTCCCTTTTTCACTTTCTATGTGTCTTATGCTTCTATATGTCTCTCTCTCTCGCTTTCTGTGTCGCACTACCCTTTGGGCCCCTTCCGAAACATATAATCGCCTCATCGCCGCCATTATCGTCATCGCCAAACCCAGCATCACACATCACACCATCATCATCATCATCATCATCATCATCATCATCATCATCATCACCATCATCATCATCATCATTATCATAATCACCATCATCATCATCGTCATCATCATCATCATCATCATGAACATCATCATCATCATCATCATCATCATCATCATCATCACATCAACATCAGCGTCACAAACATCATCATCATCACCAACAACGCATTGGCGTCCACCAGTCACAATCAGAGTGGCCATCATTTTGAAGGTCCCCTTGAACCCTCAGCGGTGGACGAACCACTGGGCGGTCTCCCCGCCCCGCGTCAGCCGCGGCTCGCGCTCGTAGCGCAAAGACCTGCGGGAATGGGCGCTTATAGGGGGGGGGGGGGAAGTGGAGAAAGAGGGAGGCGTGGGCGACCCTCGAAAGCGGCCGCCCCAGCAGTGCCACACGCACTGCAGGTGGCCGTCTTCGTAGTCGAAGCGCAGCCACTGCACGCCATTGTCTGGCGGCAGGGGCGCCGACGGGCACCACGCCCGCCGCCAGTGGGTCCCAGCGCCTGGGATGTCCCACTCGGCCTTGGACCACCCCGCTGGGATCCGCCAGCAACGCGGCGCCCATGGTGGGCGCTGCGTGGGGGCGGGGTCCGCCCAGAAGGCGGGCTTCGGCCCCCTGCGGTCGGTCATCCCGCCAGAGCCTATACAGCATCGCCACCATCGTCATCAACAACATCACATTCATCATCAAAACAGTCAGGAGTAATGAGTATCTCTTCGTCGTAGTTTCATTCATCACCGACAGCATGAATCGTCATCCATTCCTCCTCCCTTCTCCTCTGCTTCCCTCCTCACTCTTCTCACCCCCGTTCCCTCCACCCCTCTCTTTTCCCTTCATGCACAAAGTACGCGAAGCTACCCTGGCAAGGGATAGGCAGAAAGAAAAGGAGAGGCGCGACGCAGAAGGATGATAGGGGCAGGAGGGATGCGAAGAAGAGGAGAAAGCAGAGGAGGAGGAGGAGGAAAATGACGTCTGACAATGATCTGACGTCAGATCGGTGTGGGAATGCTCAGTCTGACAATGATCTGACGTCAGATCATTGTCAGATTTCAAGTTCGGAAGCATTGTCAGATCAGAACTGGCTCGCGAACCATGCCAAACTCATTCAACAACCGACCGTTACCGACCGCGACCGACCGAGACCGTTACCGATCGCGACCGCCGTTACCGGTCGCGACCGGTCGCGACCAGAGCGCGACCGTCGCGACCGGTCGCGCCTGGATTTTTCCAGTAACGGATGATCTGGGAGGGCCGGTGTCAATTGAAGGGTGGTTGGCTGGAGGGGTGTCCGTCCACCTAGGATTGAGGCACTGAGGCCGCGGCGATGCGGGCCGCCCCCGGGGCGGGGAAAGCGGGGAGCGGCCCTTGCAGTCGACACGTCGACGAAGCCCCTGAGGTCCGGGCGTCGCAATCGTTGTTCACGCCGGGCGTTTTTGCATGGGTTCGAGCCCTGCCACGCCCTCGCTCACGCAGCGATCTGGCTCGAGACATGCCGCAGGAGGTCGGGATGTGCAGGCTCTGGTCGTGATTGCCCCATGTGCCGTTTCTCTCTCGCGACGTCGGATCTCAGGCGAAGCAGAGGGGTTCTGAGGACAGCGGCTCCTGAGGCGGTTCGCCGTTCTGGACCTCCTTGTGCCTGCCGCGCGCGCCCCAGGGCCGCCAAGGAACGAGTCGGGGCAGAGAGCTGCTCCCGGGGGGAGCCCACACGCCCTCCGTTCCGAGCCGTTCCATCCTCGGCCCCAGGGCTCCGGGCCCCTTCCCTGAGGGTAGTCGTAAGCCAGGCCTGTCCCTCTACGGGGGGAAGATAGATAGATAGATAGATAGATATATTGATTGATTGATTGATTGATTGATAGATAGATAGATAGATAGATAGATAGATAGATAGATATATTCCAAAAGAGTGAACAAAATGGTCTGGGGACGATTTTCTTTGCCCATGTTTGGAAGATGTTGGAGTTTGTTGTTTGACTGTTTTCGACGTTTCGCCCCAAAAATCCCCCTGCATAGGGGGGGACAGGGCCGGACCTGAGGGCAGCCCTGCGCCCCCGAGAGCCGTGCTCGATGGCCCCGGGGCCGCCCCGAACGGTCCGCCTCTGGGCAGGGGAGGCCCCCGCATCCCTGGCTGCTGCCCGGTGGCATACTGGGCCGGACGAAAGGGGGGGATTGGGAAAGGGGGGGTTACGAAATCTGCTGCACGCAGCTGGTTTCGGCCTCACCGAGGGGCCCATTCCTCGATACATGGGCGCCTCTGGCGCCGGGAGGCGCCGGGAAAATCAGCGACGTGAGCCGATTCTCAAACGCCCCCTTTGCTATCCCCCCCTTTCGCCCGACCCGAGCATACCTCGGGACCGCGCGGGGTGCTGCCTCGGCAGGCGGCCCCCGGCGGCCGCAGCGAGGCCTTCTCGCCGAGCGCGGTCCACTGCTCGCAGAGCGCCTGCTCGCAAACGTCCGACAAGCACATGTCTGCTTGCATGCCATTCAGCGTGGATCCCCCGCGGGGAATCCAGGCCGGTGGCGAGCAGTGACCCTGCGAGTCGTGGAACGCGCTCGTCCAGAAGCGAAGCGCGCCGCGAGGGAGCCACAAAAACCTTGGCAGCGCTCGGACGTGTGCACTTTTTCGCGGCGAGGACCGTCGAGGACCAGTCCTGGCACCATCGAGCAAAAAAAAAAAAAACACGCACGAAACCGAAAATTGCACGGGAAATGGACGTCCGAGCAACGGCAAGAACCTACCGCCCACGATCCGGGAGATCTTCGGGGGTCCAGAGCCGGCTTCCCTCGGGACCCGTGTTCTTCAGGCCACCTTCTTGGGTAGATCTTGCGGCCGCCCGCGCCGCGGGGCAATGCGAGCATTGCCGGTCGTGCACGCCCGCGAGGCAGAAAAGTCGGCACATCGTCGTCGCGTTTGGTATCGTGGTCGTCGTCGTTGTGGTCGTCGGTCGTGGCGTTCGTGGTCTTGTCGTCGTCATCGCGGTTTTCGTCGTCGTCATCGCCGTCGTCGCGAAGACGATCCCCAGGTGTCGAATGTAGCACTGCTTCGGCAAAGATGCCCGCGGAGTTCGAACAGAACCGACTCGCCGCCGTCGTAGTTGTTACTCCTGTCGTAGGAAGAGGACTACGGAATTCACAGGGGGCGAGGAGAAGGGAGGCATGGAAGGAGAGAGGGGAGGGAGGGGGGCTAGGGCGGAAGACGAGAAGAAGGAGGGGAGGAAGAGGAGGACGAGAGATGCGGGAGCAGGTATAATGGGAGGGGGTGGCGGAGGAGGAGGAGGAGGAGGGAGGGGCTGGCAGAGGGGTGGACGTGGGGAACAGGAGGCGAACTGGATTGAAGGGTGGAAAAACGGAGTAGGCGGTGGAAGAGGAATAGGGGGGGGGGGGCGGGGAGAGGAAGAGGGGGAGGAAAGGGGTGCAGTGGGAGGATGAGGAGAGGGAGGGGGACTGGCGGGGGGGGAGGAGAGGGTGAAGAAGAGGAGGGCGAGCGGGAAGGAGGGGCACTCGCAAGAGGAGGGGGACGAGGAGAAGCGGGTTGGGGGAGCCAAAGGGCGCGAAGGCGCCAGAGGCAGGCCATCCCATCGTCCGATCGGTCGGCGCCCAGAGGCCTTCTCCCCAGACCCCCTCGCGTTGCGAAAAAGATCACGACGACGACGATGACGACGACGACGACGACCACGACGACGACGACGAAGACGCAGACGACGACGGCGGCAGGCGTTGGCAGGAGTTGTTCCGCTATAGTCGAACATATGATGAAGAAACCTCCTCCCGAAAATCTGGGCCAGCGTTTCTTAACCGACTTGCTCGAAAGCTGGCTCAGTTTCTTGAGCACGTTCGCCCCTCCAGCGTGAACTCTACGAATGATCTGTGCTGATCATATGTTCGGCTGTGCTTTCGGCCTCCGGGGGCCCTCACCAGGCCTCGGGACCGTCGAAAAACGATTCGGGACGAGAAGCTGGTCCGGGGGAATGGGTCGAAACCTCTGGGGGTCGACGTTGCGGAAAAATTGTGACCTTAGTTGCCTCGATACGCCCATTTTGACCCACAACACGTACCGTGCTTAAAACGTCCGTGTATATACGTTGCGTGTTGGCTCATCCTATTGGCCCACGTGTTGGCGAAAGTATCGCGACATACCTATGTACGTTTTCTGTCTACGGGGAGAGAGGAAGGCTTCTTAGAAGCACCTCTGCTTCTCAGACAGCGCGGGCCTTGTCTGTTGATGTAGGGCCGCCGTTCTCTAAGAAGCAGCCTCCTTCTGAGAAGCCTCCCCCCCCCCCTTATCCCCTTGCGCGCGCCGCCACTGTCGAGCTCCGTGTCAGTACGCTACGTCTTGCGTGCTGCGAATCTGGGCAGCTAAGATCACGAAGTCAGGGGTCCGGGCCCCGCGGTCTCGCGCGGTCCGCCAGAGCACGCCGCCGATCACGGCCGATCGGTCGACCCTCGGCGGCGGCAGAGGCCGGGAGGGCCAGGAGCACGGTCTTGGGGTTTTCTCGGGCAGGTGCTAAAAGTGGTCATTCCTTGCAGGATCCCTCCCGCAGAGAGGGCGGTGGCCATCTCGGATTCGCTTGAGCGCGCCCTCTCCTGAGGCGCTGAGCTCCCGAGCACACGTCTGGGCCGAGCAAGGGGCAACGAAGGCTGGTGTGGGCACCGCGGAAGAGGCAGCAAACGAGCGGCCTCCTGGTACGGTTCAGAACCGCGAGGGGAAGTGGGGCATGGTCACAGACGAAGCAACTCACAAGCAGTGTCCTGGTATGGTTCAAAACCGCGAGGGGAAGGGAGAGATGGAGAGGACCAAGAGAAGAGAGAGAGATGAAAAAGAGGAAACAAAAACAATAGGAGGAGGAGGAGGAGGAGCAGGGAAGGAGAGGTTGGACGCTTGAGAATGAGACGGAGGAGGAGGAGGAGGAGGAGGAGGAGGAGGAGGAGGAGGAGGGACTCCGTAGCCATCTTTGGCTCAAGGCTCGGCCCGTGCTGCTCTGCACCACTGTCACTCCCTTTCGCCTTTTCTTCCATGGGCGCCTTTGCCATGGAAGATATGGCTTCTCTCATCGGCCATACCCATGGGCGACTACTTCGCCTTCTTTCAAATCGAACGGGGGTACACTTCCAAGGATTCCTACAGGCGGCACGGTGTTCGGCGTACCGCACGTTCCCGAGCAAGGTCAAGAAGAAGCTGATCAGCATTGACATCGCATTTCCCATTGTTCGGCATATCACCACGGTGTCGGTGGAGGAGTTCGTGGAGGCTGTCGAGGGCTTGTGCGGTCCGCAGACGGACGAGTTTAGCACTTCGTCAGAGCCGGAAATGCATGGCACCTTCTTCAGCACAGACTTCATTGCCTAACGGACGGCATAGTACCCAGTGCCAGTTTTTCAACCTAGAGAGCAACGAGCAGCAAGGCAGAGATGGCGTATCACCTTTCAGCTTTTCAGGCGAACCGACTGATGCTTCAGTTGCGGATCGGTTGGGCGACCATAAGTCTATTTTGGTGGAGTTGCGAGCGGACATCTTGAACCTTCCACGAGCAGCAACACCAGCACAAGTCCGACACAAAGGACCAGCAAGTGATGGAATGCCGTTCTTCCATCCAGACCCAGCAGGAGACGGAGACACAGCGGCAGGTGCAGATCAGCACCCAGAACTACGAGCACGCCAATTCCAAGAAGGAGTTGATGGAGGACGCAAGCGGAGTGGCCGAGTCGCTGGAGGCGAAGACCAACCTCGAGAACTACTGCCACTACGTGCGCGAGAACCTGCTCAGTTTAAAGAACACGAGCGCGGCTGTCCTGAATGAGTTCGGGCACCTTGGCAAGCACGTGATGCGTATCTCCGAATGGCTGAAGGTCAATTCGCGTGTTAGCCAGAACGAGTATATCATTATGCAGCCGGAGCTCACAGGCATAGTAGACTGCGTCTACGCGAGGGTCTTCGGCCATGTGTAGTAGCAGAGGCTGGGCATGGCGTGGAAGCGAGGGGTGAGAGGGTGAAGAGAGCACTTGCATCCCACAGCTTTGGATGCCCATCGGTAGCGGTCTGCTGCTGAGTGCTAGAATCTCAAGTCTGCCCCTATTATCCTTCCTTCTCCCTCCATCATTATCCTCTGGGCTCCCTCTTTTTTACTTCAACCCCTTCCAGAGTTTGCAGCACTCTGCTAGCTCTCTCTCTCTCTCTCTCTGCGGGGGGGTGGGGGAGCGGAGAGTTTCGAGTATTATTGTGCGTGCGTGTGCGCGTGCTGCGCGTGGGTGTTGCGCGCGTTTTTATCGGACGGGGGAGTGGAGGATCCGCCCCCCCATCCTCCGCATCTGTTGCACACACACGCATACACACACACGCGCACACACACATACACACACACACACACACACACTTCGGGCGCACCGAATTACGACATATTGTCGTACCGGCGCTGGCTTCTTTTAGGCCAACAATGCTTCTAAGCAGTCCAGATAGCGAGGCTGTCGCGCTCGGGTTTTCCTGAACAACGAAGCCGTGGGGCCTCTATTAGCAATCGAATTCCAGCCTTATCCTATGATGTGGGGTATCTTCGCTGTTTAGGGTTAGCCCCCCTCCAGTCAGGGTGCAAAGTGAGCGGAACCACGCTCAGCACCTGCCCAACTACCTTCGAGCAGGTTCACACCCTGGAGGAGAGCCGCTGCGTGGCCCTGCTGCCGACCGCAACTTCGGTCACGCAACCCAGCGGCATCCATAGCCTCTGTGCCTCCGTTTTCTCCCCTTCCCACGGGTGGTTTGAGCTGTCTTAGTTTTATTGCTCTGCGCTCGCTGACCCGTCTTGTCTCGGTTTCGGAGGAGGAGGAGGGAGGGGAAGGGGGCAAGGGGGAGGGGCAAGGGGGAGGGAAACCAGAAGGAGCATCTGCAGCTGTCTTGTTCTTTCACAGTGTTGCACTTTCGTTTGCGGCGTCGGATAAGCCTGGAGGATTCCTGGGGTCCTTCGAGTATCTTGTGCTCCTGCACACTGACAAGGGGTGATCGGAGACCGCCGGAGCGAGAGTGGACGTGAAAACTCCCGTGCGGTCTCGCGGTTCGAACCGAGAACGAACATCTGTGCACGGACGCAAGTTGTCGGAGGGCTGAGCGGATCTCTTAGGTCGGCGCTGGACCCCCCCCCTTCCCCAATCTCTGGGCGGTGCCCCCGGCGCCACCCCCAGTGCGCGGAGCGCGTTTCGGTCGGTTCGGCTGCGTCGCAGTCGGCCGTGTCGCGGCCGCCTGCTTGCGATCGGTCGATCCGGTTCGATCGGATGTCGGGTCGTCCTTGCGCTGCGGCGCCCTCGTGGAGGGAGGTGCCGTCGCCGCGGGCGGCCCATGGAGAGGGTCGGGCGGGGGGGTCGTCCCTGGGCCCAGCTTGCCGTCGCGAATCGCTTTCTGGCCAGACGGCCCCAGGGCCAGGAGACGGCCCCCCTGGGGCCGACATTGGCGACGCAAAAAAACGCGATGAGTTCGCATGCGCGTCTCAAGGCGTCGGAGGTTCGGGCCTCGGGGTGTTCCCGCGGGGGTCCCCCCGATCTCTGCGGATGCTTTCGGGGCCCCTGGAGGCCGTCGGAGGTTTGGAATGTACATGCGCAGACAAAAATTATAATGCTTGCCAGCGCGAGCCCCCGAAAATTGATGATTGCAATGTGGATGCGATGTGAAATATGGGCAGACGCATGCAGTACACAAGTTAACACATATATATATATATATATATATATATATATATATATGTATGTGTATGTATATATATATAAGTTCACATACATCGACATACACATATGTCTACGTGAATACATTTATGTGGCACAAACTACGGAGCACAAATTGTGAGGGGAAAGCTCTATGGTGCAACCATTGTGCTGCAACACGCGTGTTACAATAGGTATGTAAATGTAGGGGCATACGTACACATATTATGTAGATGCTGCAGTAAATCGTACATGGTACAAGTTGTGTGCTACCACCCTCTTACACATGAAATTATATGTTCATCGGAAACGACTACGGCGAATCACCGCCGCCCGTTGCCTTTTTGGAAGCGCCTGCGTGGCCGAAAGTTGGGTTTGAACTTGGCCAAGCTATCGGGCCACGCGTTCCCCGAGTGGGTTTCGAAAACTTTCGGGGAACACGGAATCGGGCGAGTTATCGGACCAGGTGATTTCCGAGCTGTCGGGTTCCCTGGAGGACGTCTTGGAGGGCTCTTGGGCCGTCCTGGAGGCCTCTGGCGGGCCTTTTGGGCAGTCTAAGGCTATCGTCAGGCCATTTGGGGCAGTCGTGGGTGCATCTTGGGGCCATCTTCGCCGTCTTTGGAGGCCTTCTTGGCAGTCTTGGAGGCATATTGGAGGCCATCTTGTCCGTCTTGGATGCCATCTTGGGCGCCTGTGGGGCCTTTTGGGTCTTGTTGGGGTCCTCTCGGGAGTCCCTTGGGCTGTCATGGGGCCATCTTGGAGGCCTCTTGTGCGCTCTTGGGGCGATCTTGATGAGCTCTTGAGCCGTCTTGGGCCGTCGGAATACCGAAAAGGAGCTAAAGCCAAAATCCTTCAAAACCTTAGCAAAACAATTATTTGGATCTCTTCGGGACGTCTTGGAGGCCTCTTGGAGGCCTCTTGGGCCGTCTTGGAGGCCTCTTGGAGGCCTCTTGCGCCATCTTGGGCCGTTTCAGGTGTTTCGTGTGCGAACTTGGAGGCATCTTGGACTCTCTTGGGCCGTCTTCGAGGCCATCTTGGACCATCTTGGACGAACTTGGAGGCCATGTTGGGCCATCTTGGCCATCTTGGAGGCCATCTTGGAGCCGTCTGGAGCCGAAAAACCCTTTGCAACCACCTGTTACGCATCTCCGGCGGGACGGACCGAAACCCCAGGGGGAGTTCTTTGGAAAAGAACCAAAACCAAAAGCGAAAGGGTCTAGCACGCCGGACACCCTTGTGATGAATCAACCGGGGGCGGCGGATACAGCTACAGTGGCCTGCGGCCCATCCCGCCACCGCGCCTTGGCTGTAAGAAGGGCACGAGGAGGGGAGATGGGGCAAGAGGGAGCAGGACACTTCGGGGCACACAGGGTTCAGCAGGAGGGGAAGGGCAGAGAAACAGGAGGATTGGCAGGCGGACCCTGACGGGCAGGTTGGGCGGGCGGCGCCTGACGGGCGGGTCGGGCGGGCGGACCCCAGCGGGCGGGTCGGGCGTTCGACCCCTCCGGGCGAGCGGGGCATCGCAGCGACCTTAACAGATCGCAGGGATGCCCCAGGCGAGAGGCGAGAGGTCTCGTGCGAGAACGCGCTCCCCTCACGTCGAGGACGCAGCTTCTGAACAGATTGTAAGGAAGATCCCGGCGAGAGCGCGACCCCTGGGTACATCGCGGGGACGCCTCGAGCAAAGGTCTGATCCGGCAATACACTGAGACCGAGTATCAGGTGGGAGCCAATGCTGGTGTTGTTGCTATACGTTTGGGGGCCAGGGGCACAGATTGAGCCTCCAGATCTTCCTTTATAAAACACACGGGGCGAGCCCAGGGAGTGGACAATTCATTTGAGAAACGCAATGGGCATCGGACGGATGGCCAACAATGGTTCTTCTTGAGACGTAATCAATGATGGTTCAACAACAGCAGCAGCAACAACAACACTTACACCCACACACAGGAACATAACAACAAAATGAATCACACGCGCACGCAAACAACACATGTGGTGTTTTCTGGAACACATACACCTACACATACATACCTACGCACATACATACATGCATGCATGCATACATACAAACATGCATACACACATGGATGCATGCATACAGCCAGACAGACATACATACATACCTACACGCATGCACACATGCACTGCATCCGTGCACGAGTCGACAGTTCTGGACCTTCCCAGGGAGGTCACGAAAGGCACGGGGGGCGTCAGGAAAGACCAGACCAAAAGACACGGCATGCCGCGGCCGGCCACGCTGTGGCGGCACCCCACAGAGCGCCCGTGCCCACGGCGTCCGGAGGAGGGAGGAGGAGGAGGAGGAGGAGGAGGAGGAGGAGGAGGAGGAGGAGGAGGAGGAGGAGGAGGAGGAGGAGGAGGAGGAGGAGGAGGAGGAGGAGGAGGAGGAGGAGGAGGAGGAGGAGGAGGAGGAGGAGGAGGAGGAGGAGGAGGAGGAGGAGGAGGAGGAGGAGGAGGAGGAGGAGGAGGAGGAGGAGGAGGAGGAGGAGGAGGAGGAGGAGGAGGAGGAGGAGGAGGAGGAGGAGGAGGAGGAGGAGGAGAGGAGGAGGAGGAGGAGGAGGAGGAGGAGGAGGAGGAGGAGGGAGGAGGAGGAGGAGGAAGGAGGAGGAGGAGGGAGGAGGAGGGAGGACGGAGGAGGGAGGAGGGAGGAGGAGGGAGGAGGGAGGAGGGAGGAGGGAGGAGGCTCGCCCCCCCCTCGCCCGGCTCGCCAAGCTTCAGAGAGGGCTCCAGCCTAGAGGCCCTCGGGAGGCGCGGGGGGAGAAGCACGCGCGGCACGCAGGCCCCCATGCTGCGGCCAGCAAGGTTTTTAAAGGCGTGCGCGTCCCTCTGCAGGACACTCTAAAATAGGAGAAAAAATCGTCTGGGGACGATTGGGTGACTATGGTTATTGTTTTGTCGTATGTTTTGTATGTTTACACATGTTTTAGTATGTTGTGCAATAGTATTGTTTTAGTGTTGTTGCAGTCTTGTTTTAGTATTGTTTTAGTATGTTGTAAAGAGTCAAGAAACATCGTAAATGTTTCTAGTAATTTTATTTGTTCGTCCAAGCTCGGCCTGTAGGCGGACCTGCCCGACCTAACAGCACGGAGGGAATCAGCAGGAGCATCAGAAAAGAAATCGGCCTGCAAGCAGCCCCACAGAAGTGGTGGCCCAGAGGGTTCACAGAGGCCCCAGGGCACCTCAGGAAGCTCAAACCGCGACGCAGAAGGTGCCCCACGATCACCTGGAGCAAGATTTCTCAT